CAGCTGGAAGTCCTACAAGGTAGTGGACTTGTGGTTATTCTCTTGGCTCCTAGGAAAATTCTGTGTCTCCACCATGTCCATTACCCAATCTGTGGCTCATGCTCCTTTCAGTCCTCTACTGTGTTGTTCAATAAACAGGTTGGCTATGTGTCAACCCAGATTCTACAGTGTAGGGAAAGTGAAACAGCCTCAGGGTACTTGATCTCTCTGACCACACTGCAGCTCCTCCTGATAAGGCTCTTCTGATCCATCTCTTTCCAAAACTCCTGATAGCTACTTACAGTCATGTCCCCTCCCCACATCACAAACCACTGCCACTTCCAAACCAAACCCAGGAAAGGAAAACAGGATGGCATCTCACCCTCTTCTCTCCTTCCTCCCATAATCTCCTGGGGCTTAAAAAAAAGACCAAGATCAAGCCTTCCTGCCTTCCTTCTTTCTCCAGCCTGAACATCTTTTACAGGAAATCTGTGATCACAGTTACTGAATCTGCCTAACCCACACCAAAAGAGCAGGTAAAGAAATTTAGTTAACAAACTCTGCTCTTGCTGCAAGCTGCTGGCTTTTTGTTTATTTTTTCTGGTTTATTTGTTTGCTTGTTTCTGAATGCAAGAAGCTTATTACTTTCTTTCATTTTGCATCTGGGCAGGCATTTTTTGTTTTCTCTCAAACATTCCTTTCCTTCTTCCTTGCCACAAGAACTCTGATTTTGTATCACTCAGAGAGGCAGAAATCCTTTCTAATGAGTCTGCAGATATTATCTGAAGTGACACTTTGGACTTTGGCAGCCAACTTGAGACTATGAGAGGACGTACACATAGGGGAGATGGGTGACACTAAGGGTTGCAGAGAAGATACAAGAGGAAAAAATATTCCTGACTGTTGTCTTTGGATTTATAAGTTTGACTTAATCAAACGTACAGATGCTCTTATGCAGAAACTCATATATGAAGTAATAAACTTACTGTTTAAGCTATTTCTACTCAAGCTTTTTCATATAAAAGCACAAGAGGGAGAGGGGAGACAGAGAGACAGAACTTCCATTCTCTGATTCATTCCCCAAATGTCCATAACATCCAACACTGGGCCCGGCTGATGTCAGGAATCCAGAATTCCACCCAATCTCCCACATGGTTGATAGGAACCCAAGTATTTGAGCCATCATGAACTACCTCCAAGACACATTAGTAAGAAGTTGGATTGTAAGCTGAGTCCAGACTTGATTCAGGCATTCCAATATGGAATGTGGGCATATCAAGTGTCAGTTCAACCTGCTGTGCCACAATACCCACCTCCTACTTAGCGACTGGAATGCAGTCTCCTAACTTATATACTTTCTTTCTGTAACATTTCTGATCTGGTCCAAAGCAGATGAATAACCTGAATAATTAGAGCAAAATAGCAAAAGAAACTCTGATATTGGTAACATTAATCCTTGGAATAACTGTCATGAAAGTCCAGAGTTGCCTTCCTCATTTAGATTCTCACCATCATTTCTCCAGTTTTGGATCTCCTCACCATTTCTCAAAATAATTTTCAATAACTCTCTGCCCCTCATGTCAACCACTGCTTCTAATTAATTATCTGTACTATTTCTGAAGTATTTTGCTAAAACACAAACTTGGGGAAGGTATTTGCTGAAGCCTAATTGCATCCAGAGATGCCTCACTAAATCTTAGGGAACCTCAGATGTGGTTTTGTGCACAACCTGTACTTTGCCTGTGCTTTTATTGTGGCAATTCTCACTCAACAGCACTTCATAGACATCCATTTCCCATAGAGTTAATGGACTTATTGGTAAATAAACCTTATTGATTTTTGTATCTTAATCACTTGGCATACCTCCTAAAATGTGAAGAAACAGTACAGCATGGCATACATTCTGTCTGGGTTCAAGTCCTGGTTCTACCATATCCTGGTTATAAAGCCCTCTTAGCAAGATCTTTCAGAATTAGAATTAAAAACAGCATAATGTTGGGTAAGTAAGATAATCTCTCTGTACTTAAATTTACTTATCTACTAAGTAGGAAAGATAACTGATACTATCACTACTAGCATTGTTGAGAGGATTGCAAAGATTATTCATGTAAAATATTTAGAACTCTCATTGTAAACATCTAAATACATGTCATTTTATAGTACGTTTAAGAATCATCAGCACTTGCCGGCGCCACGGCTCAATAGGCTAATCCTCTGCCTGCAGCGCCGGCACACCAGGTTCTAGTCCCGGTGGGGGCACCGGATTCTGACCCAGTTGCTCTTCTTCCAGTCTAGCTCTCTGCTGTGGCCCAGGAGTGCAGTGGAGGATGGCCCAAGTCCTTGGGCCCTGCACCCGCATGGGAGATCAGGAGAAGCACCTGGCTCCTGGCTTCGGATAAGCGCGGTACACTGGCTGCAGGGCACCGGCCGCAGCGGCCATTGGAGGGTCAACCAACGGAAAAGGAAGACCTTTCTCTCTGTCTCTCTCTCACACTGTCCACTCTGCCTGTCAAAAAAGAAGAATCATCAACACTCAACAAAGACCTTCAGCTACCCTTTACTGTTATCTAGGAAGCTAAGGGGTTACTGAACTCACAGGTTGTAAGGCCCATGATTTCTGTTTCCAAGCATATTTATATTACTGCCTGTGATGCCCTGTATCCCACACAGAGCTTTTATCAGGTGCCTCATGTTTGCAAGGACTATGGAGGGTATACACACTACGGCTTCTCACACACATCTCAGAACAGAC